GAAAACCCCTGTCTCTTATACACATCTAGATGTGTATAAGAGACAGATCCTAACGATATCCCTTCCCGCCTTTTCAAACCACTTCCTACTCCCCAGTACAGCTACCGTCCTGTACTCTCTATTCCGTGCCTCAGCAAACATCTCACTGTACCTCCCTTCTATTTTTCCCAGCTCAGTCACGTACACTTCCCTCTCCTCGTCGTACAACTGACGTCNCATCTATTTTTCCCAGCTCAGTCACGTACACTTCCCTCTCCTTCTTGTACAACGGACATTCCGCGACTACATGAACACGGTCTTCGCATTCGAAGCCGCAATCACATTTGAACTCGTCGTCTTCGTCGTCTACCGTCCTATGTCTTCGTCGACGTTCTCGAAGGCCTATGTCCCCGGTCCTGAATTTGACCTTAAGCTTTGTCCTTGCATCCGTTGGTTCATGTAGGTAATCCTTGAACCCTATTCCTTCCTTCAACATTCCGTACACTTCTAGTCCCTCTTTATCCTCGGATTCTTTCCTTGGATTCTGTTCTTCTCTCTCGGCACAACCAACAGGTATCTTCTCCTTGAACCCCTTTAGACCCTCCGTTTCCAGCGTTTCATCTTCGTCGATGTCGAACCCCTTCCATACGTCCTCTACAACCTTGACCCATTCCGTGGGTTGTCTACTCCTCTTATCGTTTGCCCACTTCGCCTCCAATACTATTCTCGGCAACCTCTCCTCTCCCATCCCGCACATGCGAAACTGCCATGTCAGCTTCCTTGCGTCTCTTCCTGACCCTAGGGATTGGATCCCCAATTATGCCCTGACACCTTCATTACTTGTGCGCTTGGAGCATCCAAGGATGATTTTCGCTGCTTTCATCTGCGCCGCCGCCTCGAGTTCTTTCACTACCTTCTTATTTCCTTCCCATACTTCTCCGGCGTACTCTAGCGGCGGTACGATTACGCTCTTCAAAACCGTCAATTTGATGCGTGTATCGAGGTGCCGGTTTGCGAGTATTGGATGCANATTGGGTGCAGCTTCCCTGCTCGTGCTTTGCCCTTTTCCGCTACCTTGGACATGTGTGCATTCCACGAGCAGTCTTTTGCGATCTCTACTCCGAGGTGTTTTTATTGGTCCACTACTGCAATCTCCTCGATCCCCCATTTCCATCTATGCCTCCCTGTCCTCGTTGCATACCATGACGGCACTCTTCTTAACGCTGGCAGACAATCTCCACCTATCAGTAAACTCCTTCGCCGCGTCAATTTGCAGTTGCAGCCCCTCAGGGGTGTCCGACATTCCGACAAATTCATCCGCAAACAGCATTCCTGAAACCGACGTTTCCGTGCCCCCTACTTTTACTCCCTTCCGGACTGCCTCTACGACTTCCAACAGATCGTTGATGAACACCTGGAACAATGTTGGGGACAGCGTGCAACCTTGTGGGACCCCTCGCTCAATGTCGAAGAATCTAGACAGCTCTCCGTCTAACATGACCGCGCTTTTCGTACACTCTTGTCATCATCTTCAGCACTCTCCACATTTTCCCCTTGATCCCGTACTTGGACAGTTGTTTCCACAACCCATTTCTCCACACGGTGTCGTATGCCTTTTTCACGTCCAGGAAAAGGCAGTCCGTCGGCTTTCCCGCCCTCTTTCTACCTTGGATGATTCTCCCTACTGTGAATACGTGGTCTACGCACCCCGTCTTCTTTCGGAAATCTGCCTGGCCCTCACTAATGCTATGTTCCTTCTCCAGTATTCCCACTGTCCTATCGTTCAGCAGCTTACAGAACATGTGTTCAATCGTGTGATCCCCCTGTAGTTTCCTGGGTCAGTCTTGTCTCCTTTCTTAAACAAGTTCACAACCACTCCTTCCTTCCATCTACTTGGCGCGTACTCGTTTTTCCACAGCCAATGGCACAGCAGTAACATCAGCTGGATCATCCCCTTCCCCCCAAACTATCCCATCCGCTCCTGCTGCTTTGTGGCACTGCAGCTTGTTCACACACGCCTCAACCTCATCCTCAGTGAATTCACTCCTGTTCTAGTTCTACGTTGCCAAGGTCTGCTTTCGATATCTCTTCTTGTTTTTGGGCCCATGCGTCCACCTCCTTCTTAAACACTTGGTCAAAAGCTTCATTCTCCGAAGGCACTCCAAGTCTCTTGTAGTGTCCTGCTAGAACTTCCCTTTTTCCCTTCCCACTGCTGACGGATCCACCGTTCACACCTCGCAAAGTTGCTACCCCTGTATCCCCCCCTTGCGCGGTCTTTTTTACCATTCCACTAATCCCATCCCACGTCTGCTTGACGGTCCCCTCCTGGGATACGTTGGCCTTCTTCACTACTTCGTCCCAAATACACTTTTTGTTCTTTTTCACTAGTCCCTTCACCTGTTTTCTCTTGGCCCTGTACTTTTCCCAACTCTCCTCAGACGCCTCACTCAGGTACTGCTTGAAGACTTCTCTACGTTCCCCTATTTCTTCTTTCAGCTCGTCATCCCACCACTAGACCGATACCCCACATCGTACCACCTTCTTTCCCACTACTCTCTCTGTCGTTGTGTTTACGACGGACTCCCACCCTTCAATCACCCTGTCCCCTGCTGCTTGAACGCCTACCTGTCCGTCT